GGTCCCACTTGCACGGGACGGATTAAGAGATTCTGGCCGTTGATCTTTGCGATCTACGGTCAATATCGCTTAATTCCTGTAAGTGGGACCTAGCCCCACATCGACTTCCAACATCGCCACGTCAGCAGTCGATGATGGGCCTCACTGCACGATGCAACACCGAGATGTACCTGGACTGGACACCTGTCCAGATAGACTGCAAATGCTCGATCAATCAACCCTGATGGCCGAGGACCGTTCCGAATACATGTGGAATGTTAAGGTCCTGAGGTGTACGCAGCTCAGCGACGTCATCACACGTCATCGAACGACGCACTCAACTCGAGGGCACACTCATCATTTTATTTTATTTTTGTTTTTTTTTTAATCGTATGTATTTTATGTTTTTTTTTTTTATCATACGTATTTTACCGACCCCACGTCATGTCATGACTCAAAAAATAGCGCACCCCCTGTCCCTACTATCCTACCTCAGTGTGAACTGGGGCGTGGTCCCACCAGCAAAGGGGATCGGTTCGAATACCGGAATCTGGACGTGTTTGGTGACAGGTGCAGGAAATCGAGATTGAAGTGTTTTTCTGCATCTCTGCATAAAACACATCCAGATTCAGGCACTCGATCCGATCCTCTTTGCTAGTGGGACCTCGGCCCTGCACTAAGGACCATCACCGCTACGAGGGCCGAGGTCCCACTAGCAAAAAGGATAGGATCGAGCTCGTGAATGTGGATGTGTTTTAAGCAGAGATGCAGAAAAGCAGTTCAATCTCGATTTCATGCACATCTCCATAAACTCGTCCAGATTCAGGCATTCGATCCGATCCTCTTTGCTAGTGGGACCACGCCCCACTACCGAGGAGGACTTGGACCGAACAGTAGTGACAGGCATCTAAATTGCCTGGGCCGGGGCCAAGTCCCACTTACCCTAATTCTTCATTTACGAAGATCGCAGGCCAAAAATGAAGAACCCAAGCTAATGGGACTTGGACCCCGGTCAGCTCAATGATGATAGCTCAAGGCGGTCGCCCTTTCGAAAAACCAAAGAAAAAAGAGGGGGAAGAAAAGGAGAGGGGGGCGCGAAGGAAAGTCAATCTGGTCACCCAAGAGCATACCGTCTTCCCCCGAACATAACGCACCCTTAAAATGAATGTATACAAGTCATATTTCCGGCCAGATACCGCCAAAATGAGGGTGCATTGTGTTCGGGGGAAGACGGTAGCTCAGTGGGTACACCCATGAACTGTTGCAATACAGACCTGTGTTTGAATCCAGATGATGGAATTGGACGAGTAAACCCAACTACTAATGAATTGCTTGGGGCTGGTCAGCTCAATGATAATATCTCAAGGCCGTCGCCCTTTAAAAAAAAAAAAAAGAAAGTCAATCTGGTCCTCGCAATGTTCTTGGGAAGTTGACGCGGATCACCGCATCGGCGAAAAGAGAGGAGGAGCAGCTTTTGGTTGTTTGTTTTTTCACAAGGAACGGTAATTGTCAAAAAAAAAAAAAAAAAAAAAAAAAGGGAAGGTAATTGTCATTAGCAAAGCAATGGGAACAAGCCAGAGTCTTCGTAACGCCAATACACAGGTCTCTTCCAGATAAAATAGGAAAAAGGTAGGCCAATGATGATGCCAGATTGCTCAGAAGTGAGTCAAAAAGGTGGGCCGCAGGCCCGCACACCGCGGGAAAATCAAGGGCGGGGGGGGCCGCTTCGCCAAAACAAGGCGGGGGAAAAGACTCGACCTCTGAGGACCTGACTGACCCTTGTGTGATGTGCACGCAGGTTCGCGTTTGCGATGAACGCAGCGAGCAGCCGGGAGCTGGAAGGCGTGGCACGTGAGGGCTCACAAGCTGTCTTGGCTGGGCCGTCGCGGGTGACTTATACTGTGGGAGGGCAGAGCAGTGGGACTGGACGGACCAGCGAGGCCGTACTGCAGCCTGGGTAAGTCTTCTCACCTCCGCATTGGAGGCCGTAGATCCTCGGTGAAGACCAGTGTGCCGTGGATGGTGTAGGTCGAGGGGGCTGTTGGTTCTGCAGTCCTTAGATTGCGTAGATCTGAGAAGTTGAGTGCAAGAGTCCCATCTGGAAATTTCCCAGTCCCGGTCCAACTGTCGTTCCGTTTGGTTTTGTTGATGTCGACCGGGGATAACTGTCAAAACAGAATCTGCTCCGTCGGCCTTGGGCGCAACCAGATGCGCAGGTATTGGCACAATGTTACACAGGTCTCTTCCAGATAAAATAGGAAAAAGGTAGGCCAATGATGATGCCAGATTGCTCAGGAGTCAAAAAGGCGGGCCGCAGGCCCACACACTTCCTGAACCGCCCAACTCCCTCCATCGTCCCGCAAGTGACACCGTCGTCTTGCAGGGAATGGTGGAACGAACGACTGAGCGATGGCGTCTGGAGGCAGAAGCGAAGCACGCCTGAAATTGAAGGAGGATACGAAGCTGGCCTTGAGTGGAGTAGCGCCTTGGTTGGTGAATATGGAGCTGGTCAGCGATGGAGAGGCGAGATGAAAAAGCTCCTTCTTGCCTTGAACGAGTGGTTGGAACGAAACAACATTGGGAGAGATTGCATGGCCTGTAATGACTTGGATGTATTGTCCTTTGTGAGCAGCGAGTAGCTTGTAGAGGTGGAGGGTTGGTGCAGAACTTCAAATGCTGAGGGTATCCCATTGGTATCACCTTCCACTCTAGATGCTGCGGTGAACTGCTTGAGTGCTTGCTTTCGGTTGCTTGGAAGAGATGGCGATAAGGATCCATGTCAGAGTAGTAGAGTGCGGGCATTTCGGAAGGCTTATCGGGAGTATTCGTTGCAGAGAGGTGTTGTTGAAGAATCAGCACGTCCTTATAAGTCACACTGCGCAAAAACTACTACTCCGCTGCTAATTCGGGCCACCCCAATGGATTCCCCCTAACCCAAACATCAGATTAGTTTCTTCCCCTCCGCCCGAGTTCACAGAGAATCGAGTAGTAATCTCGATTTCTCCTCCCTTCTTCCTTAGCTCCCACCATAGCCTGGCACACCATCTTTCTCTACTGACTCCATATCCGCTAACCTACCGCCCGAACTACCCTCACTAATAAACTCGCCATGGCCGAAAATGCTAGGAACGAGCCCTTATTCGCCTATTTCCGTCGAGGAACGGGCGTAAAACCGTCTTCCCTCCGGCCATAGCTCGCCGCTCCTTCTTCGCTGCGCCCCTTCCTATCTCACACGCACCCCACGCCAGATCGCATCCTGGTTCACCTCCTTCACAATGGTGCCCGCCACTCCGTTCTTCGTTTTTCAACTGGCCCCGCTGCCCGTCGGTTCATCCGGAAGCACGCAACAAGAGGCGGGCGAGCAAAAAATCCCGAGCACTCGGGTCTCCGCTTGACTTATGCGTGTCAGCTTCGCGCCGGGGCCACGCTGAACTTCTCTGTATCGTTTCAATTTCGACAGATGTCCCAAAGAACACGGGCCGGGGCAGCACCTTCCTCAGCACTCCGAACCCTACGCGGCCGAGACCCCGCCCCTTTTTAACGCAGGAACCACCCTCCTTCTTGGGGATCGTGCACTTCGACTTTACCCTGGGCCAAGCTGACCTTCTCCGTATCGGCCCGAATCCCCCACGGGTGCCCCAATACGATCCTTCATGGCCGTACCCCCACCCACTTCGCTATTCTTGCACGGACCTGGCCCTTCCTTCGGGCTTCATGCATGCGAACCTTGCACAGGGCCGTGCAAGTCTTCCCTGTCTCCTCTTTGCGGGCCCCCCTGGCCACGTCTCGCGCTCGTGTTCATCCCCGGGCTTCGCAAGCACTCCCTTTGCACGGCTGGCCAAGCGGATCCTCCCTGTATTGTACCGATTTCAACGGATATTCCGAAGGACCCCACTTACAATGGCCCTCCACGCCCCTTTCCCTTAACCTGTTTTTCGTCCGGGTTCATTCCCAGACTTTCCCCCGTTACCCTACATAGCAGCCAGGTGGTTCTTCCCGATATCACTTCAATCTCCATGGATGCCTTTCGGATTTCCGCGCGGCCACAACCCCATTCTACCCCGATGCACGCACCTGGCCCCTTCGTCGGGGTCCATACGCGTCAAACTCGCGCCGGGGCCAAGCGAACCTCTTGTGCACCGTTCCAATTTTTAACAGATGTCCCGAAGGACTCGTGCGGCTGCAGCCTCGCCCTGCTTTGGCATGCGAACGGGCCCTTTTTCGGGATCTATACGTATCGTCCTTACGCAGGGGCCATGCTACTCTTCCCCGTATTGTTTTGAATCTAGCGAGTATCCCGTAGGACTCGCGCTGCGCGGCGCTCGTCGG